AAAAAAAAAAAAAAAAAAAAAAAAAAAAAAAAAAAAAAAAAAAAAAAACTAGAGACATTGACTAGATATATTCTACCTGTTACTGTTGTATCCTTTTCATTAAATTATATCTATGTCAAATAATTATTAGATGACGTACAGGTACCCTTTTTCCTTGTGTGTAGTTGAAACATCAGTATCATCTTTCTTATAGGCTTTTATTTCATTCCTCTCTTTCACAAATTATAATGTTTACATTTCCTTGTTTGCATTTCGATGCCAACTGTTCATTACTAATCTTCAATCCATAAAATTGGGCTCGACATTTTTTCTTGAAAATATTGTGTGCCGATTGGGTTATGTGCTTCAGTGATTCTCTCTTTTTTGGATTTATTGCTTGCAGTTTGTGGCTATAGTTTGTCTGATGCTTCTATTCTTTAAATTCTAGTGGACATGTTCTCTTTACGCCAGTTTGATGCGATATTAATTTACTAATCCTTGAAGTTGAAACTACCATTTTAAATTTTTTATGTATAATATTTCTTTGGTTATCCATTTGTTCTTTACTTTCTTTGATTTAATATCATGTCAATTCATTTTCTGCAATGCAGGTAATCGTGAGCAAGATAAAACGTTGCAAAACGGACTCATTTTCAGGGTTAGTCTAAAAGCGTTAAATATTATTTTTGTTGTCTTATAAAATGCTCTGTTATGCTTCCTACCATTTATTAAAAATTGTTTCTTTGAGATATTTTTATAATGAAGTTGTCAAGTGTCAACAATATTCTTATCTCGTCTCTTGTGGGCTACACAGGTTGGAATTTGATAATCCCGAAAGACCAGAATGCAACAATCTTCTTACAGTTTACCAACTTGTTTCTGGAAAAACAAAAGAGGTGTTCTACCTAGACAAGTTGTTGAAATTTGAACCTTCTAAAATTTGGTCTTGATAATATTTTCCATTGCAGGAAGTTAAGCAGGAGTGTGAGAATATGAATTGGGGAACATTTAAAATCCTTTTAGCCGATGCTTTGGTCGAGCATCTCCATCCTATCCAGGTTTGCTTCTAATTTTGATACTCGTTTAGGAGATAAGATGCACTTTGTGTCGTGTAAGTGTTGGAAAGAAATCCTTTTATACAGACCTTGAAGTAAATAAAGGAAACAATTGGTAAAATTTGTTGAAAGGAACACAGAGATAGGCTCTATGAAGTATGAACTCAGTCTGGAAGTAGTATGGTAAAGAGATGCCTGGGAGGACTTGATTGTCACTTCAAATCTCAAGTTCCTTTTGGATAAGAAACAAGAAAACTTGTACTGAAAGGCTAAGAGCCAAGGGAGAAGGTGGCCCATTGCCGAAGATGAATGAAATGAAAGGCTCCCAATCTATAGAAGTTGCAAAAAGATTTGCATAAAACACTCTAATTTGAGGATGTAAACTGTACCAAATTTCCCGAGTTAAAAAGAATCTGACCTATCTGAAAACTTCTTTAAATTACTCTTGCTTTGTTACCAAGACAACAACTTGGAAGTAACTATGTAAGTCAATCTTTAATATTCTTAGGAGGGCACCAAACTAAGCCAAAATGTTGACAAATAAAATTTCAACCCTTCATCAAAGCAAATTGGATACTTCTATGAGGGCACCAAACTTCCTGTTGCTTTGAGTTCCTCTCGGTCTAAGCTTTTCTTTTATTTATATTGCCCTTGTCTGTTCATTCCTTTGTTCTTAATATTGTATTTTCTCATTAAAAGTTTTTATAAATAAAATTTATCATTGTAAAGTTCTTGAAGTGCATGCGTAGACTTAGTTTTGCAGAAATGGTTTTATATTGTTAGAACTTATTCCTACGTCACAAAGATGATTACTACTTCTAGTTCAATGCTTCTTTTCCTTCCACTTATGCTGAATTTTTGCGTTACAAGTCCTTGGATGCTATTATCTGTGGTTCTTTCGTTAGCTTCAATTTGGATTTCTGCGATGCAGGTCCGCTACAATGAAATTGTATCTGATTCTGCTTATTTGGATGAAGTCCTGGCCGAAGGTGCTAGTAAAGCTTCAAGTATTGCAGATGTAACTCTCAATAATGTCTATCAAGCTATGGGATTCTTTCGGAGATGAACAGAATCGAGCGGTCACAAAAGATTTTCAAGGACAAACATGAATGCAACCACAACCTTCAAAAGAATGGTAGCTTCCCGTTGTCTATAAGTTTTTGTAGATGACAAGCTAACTTATTGTTTGTGACAGAAAGAAACTTGTGATGCAGTTTTTATTTAGCACTATTGCTATTTTTTCTGCGATGAACTTCTTGGGCATCATATAGCATGATTAACTTATTAGTTGGGTACCCAACGAAAATTGAATATTCTTTCATAAGCAATTGTGGAACCATGACAAACTGTTCCCAGTATAAAAAAAGGTAAGCTTTTGGATTATGTAATGACTTGTCATTTCGATTTGCTATGCAGTTGAAACATTTGCTTGCCACTTTTTTAAATAGGTAACATGAAAGATTGAGAGAGGGTTTGAAACTTGACATCATCAATTGAGGTAATGCCTAGGATTGAATTTTTCATTCTAAATTTTATGGAATTTGCCAACCTTAACAAGTTGGTATGGATATGCATGAATCTTTATACAATATATATATATATATATATATATATATATATATATATATTATTCATTACTGCGAACATTTTATAAACTTTTAGACACCCGAATTTAGAGTATCCTATTTTCACGCAATTCATAGGGTTCAACAAGCAATCGATATTTCACGATCAAGGTGTTGTGCTATTTGTAGTAGCAATCCTTATATATTGTATTAACAATTGAATGATGGTCAAAAGATCTCTATTTGACAGGGTTTCTTCCTATACCTATGAATTTCATTGGACCTAGAAATGATACATTGAATCTTTTGGCTCTTCCAATAACAATAGGTTGATTGTTTCGCTCCTGTATCTTCCAAAAGGAAAAAAAACCTCTAAGAGCTATTTCTTGGATCTGAAAGAGAGTATTTGGGTTCTCCCAATAATTAAAAAGTGTATCATGTCTGAATCTAATTGGAGTTTGCGGTGGTGGATGAACTGGATCGAAAAAAAGAGGGATTCCAGTTGTAAGATATCTAATAAAATCGTTGCTAGAATTGAGATCTCATTCAAGGAGAAAGATATCAAATATTTGGAGTTTCTTTTTGTATATATATAATGTATATTATCGAGTGAGATGCTTGTAACTTTCTTAAAGGTTAACCAACCATGCGGAAGTTGAACCTCAATGGGATTGACTTTGATGGTGCGATATACAAGTCAATTTAGCAGGGAATTATCATTCATTCTCTCCATCAAGGAAGGAAATGGGATGAAGACTTGCTTTGCTTTAGCAGCGCCAGCACTCTTACCAGAATCTTCTTTTCCTTATTTTTCTATCACAAAATCATTAGGGACGTAGAAAAGTGCTAAAAAGCCGAAAAAGCAGAAAAGGGTCTCATAAAGTACCCTTATAAAGTGAAAGTGGGAAATTATCGAGGCTACAATTGTTGTACTGATTAAGTGGAATGTAGGGGGTCCGCCATTGGAATAGGTGCAAGAACTTTGTCATCCCAATGATGGTGATACTCACTTCTCTAATGATCTTGGGGAGATGCAAGTTTGGAAATTTGATTTACTCGGACTTTTTTGCTCAAAGTTAATGCGCATCATTTTCATTTGTTTGAAGTCAATGCCTGTAACTTTGATTGAACATTTAAATTAGCATCGTCATTGAATTCTCGATTCATCATTTTAAATTTTAGATCCTCCATTTTTACATTTCTTAAATTAAAAAAGTTCTTTAGTTTACAAATTATAAACAACATGCAAATCATTCATATGCACCATACATATATAGTTTAATACAAATTAGTTTAATATGCATCATATTCTTGTAGGAGTAGCATCAACTTTAAAATCACATACTTTTCGGATATGTTACATGTTTTGTTTTATAAGCTTCATAAAACCAATTACCTATTAATTAAAATCCCTTCATTTTGCTAATTATTAGGGAAATAAACAAATCATCATAAAACCAAATCATGCCTTTTAGGGCTTAATTATTATCACTTAACTTTTTTCAAATTATTTAAATATGACTGAAACTTTCCTTTTTATTTAAAAAATAAATTTATATAAAAATTTTAACCTATCGTTAAGGTACGAAATTGTTAGTTTATGTCCAATATTTTAATAAATTTATTATCTAACGGTAGAAGGATATTATTTTAATTAAAAGTAATTTAACGATATTGTTAAAATAAAAGGACAAGTTCAACTAAAAAAATTTGAAAAGGTTTGACATATTTTATATTAAGAGATGGAGTATAATAATGAAGAAAGTGAGAAATGTAGTACATGGAATAGAATTCTAAAAACAATTATGGTACCCAAAGTCAACGGTGCATTATTGTTTGAAAAATGCTCGTATTTTTACGTCATGAATTTAAGTTTTTTTCAAAAAAAAAAATTAAGAAAAAAATAATTTTTTTTTCTCCCTAAAACGACACATATATATATATATATGGAAATATAGGGTAATATTATTCCAAGTAAGAAAAATGGGGTGATATTTATTTAGACCACCTCTTGATTTTATAAGCATAAAAATGATATATTTATAACATAAGTATACTAGAAAAATTATGCATTTTACTTATTATAAATAAATAAATAAATAAATAAAATTAATAATTTGCCACGTTTTGGTGAAGGTGTCATGTGTGATGTTATGTGATGTTGATGAGAGCAAATTCAAGCAGTTCGCTGCACTTGAACGAATCCGCCATGTGAAAGCTCAACAGTTCTATTCCGTAGTGCGGATTCACCCAAAATGAAATCGATCTGTGTCGAGTTTCTCCTATTGCTCTACGGATTGAACACGCTCCTCCACCACCACTAAGGGACGGAGCCATGATTTCGACATCACAAAGCATTCTAAATGTTCTTAGTATCTTTTTCTTTCCCCTTTAGTTTTGATCTCTTTACGCATAAAGATAGTGGGGTTCCATGGCTTAACCATTTTCTTAGTGCTTTTTTTTTGTTGCTTTTCTTTTGCTGGGAATTTTAAGTTTGATGCTGCAAAGAACAGTTATCTAATCTACTCGTCCCCTATCCTTATTTGTCGTTTTGTAATTGAATCCACTGCCTTCTTTGCATCAGCTTTTACTGATGCACACTAACTGTTTGTGATTTGTCCTCATCCAAAACTATGGGGTGAAAAGATGCATTATCGAAAGTTGTGGCGACTTCTAACGTGGTATCAGAGTTATACCCTTAATTTAGTCATGTCAAGTATCGAGTAAAGAAGTTGCTAACCTCGAAGTTGTAGTCAAAAGTAATTCAAGTGTCGAACAAAGGGTGTACTTTGTTTAAGGGCTCCCGAGAAAAGAGTCAAGCCTCGATTAAAGAGAGGCGGTTCAAGGGTTACATAGGCCTCATGGGAGGCTTTATAATGTACTTTGTTCAAGGAGGGAGGCTTTATAGTGTACTTTGTTCAAGGATTATTGAGGATTGTTGGGAGGGAGTCTCATATTCGCTAATTTAGGAAATGATGCTGGGTTTATAAGTAAGGAATATATCTTCATTGGTATGTGGCCTTTTGGGGAAGCCCAAAAACAAAACCATGAGAGCTTACGTGAGAGATCCTACATCGGTTGGGGAAGAGAACGAAACACCCTTTATAAGGGGTGGAAACCTCTTCCTATCAAACACGTTTAAAAACCCAAAAAGGACAATATTTGCTAGCGGTGAGCCGTTGCAACTTATGTTCAAAGTGGACAATATCATACCATTGTAGAGATACGGGATTCCTAACCTATATATAGAAATTGATTTGTGTTTCAAGTTGAATTTGTAAGTTTTCCTTAAAAGAAAAGAATGGGCAGGTGTCCTGAGCTTCTTGATCTGATCTCTATGAACAGGGAATGGAAGTTGACTAGAAATGGTGCTGAAAGCTCTGTGAGTGAGAACAATAAAACAGAACTGAGACTCGGATTGGCAGGAGGAGAAGGAGAAGAAAGCAGCAGCAGCAGCTTGAATGGTAACCATGAAAGTGGTGAATTTCTTGTCTCTTCTGCTAAGCTTTTTCCTTGTTGTTTGAACATTAGAAGCAACAAAAGGTCGGTTTATGAAAAAGCTGAAGGCATTGCAGGAAATGATGAATTCCAACCCCACAAGCTGATTGCTTCCTTACCATCTTCAGCTTTTCAAAGGGAAGCACACAAGCTGGAGTTGGTGCCATATTTGCAACATTTTTTGATGACCCAGAACCTGGAGTTGGTGTCAGAGGAGCCATCAAAGGCATGCAGTTTGAGAACAGCTGAGTTTCCTTACTTGAATGGGCAATCATGTCCGAACACTGGTTCTGTTCCTGCTGATTCATCTCAAGAACCTAAACACCATCACAAAAGGTTAGTTTGCTAATCCTGTTTTCTACAAATTCATGTCACTCAAGATATCATGTCACTGAAACTGATTGCCCACGTCGGTTGGAAAGGAAAACGAAACATTTTTTATAAAGGTGTGAAAACTTCTCTTTAGTAGACCGTGTTTTAAGAACCTTGACGGGAAGCCCGAAAAGGACAATATCTGTTAGCGGTGGCTTGGACTGTTACAGAAACTTTGTATTTCCAGACTTTGTATTTCCAACTTTCTCAAATTGTTTTTTTTGTTTTTAAGATGAAAGTTAGACTGTTTTCTTTCTGGTTTAAGCTGCTGCTATCTTGAATCTCGAAATACATACCCACCACTAATCGATATTGTCCTCTTTGGATTTTTTCTTCTAAGCTTCGCCTCAATGTTTTAAAACACATTTGCTAGGGAGAGGTTTCTACACCCTTATAAGGAATGTTTCGATCCCCTCTCCAACCAATGTGTGATCTCACAATCTACCCCTTTGGACCTAGTGTCCTCGTTGGCACACCGCCCAGTGTCTGGCTTTGATACCATGTGTAATAGCTCAACCCACCACTAGCAGATATTGTCCTATTTGGTCTTTCCCTTTTGGGCTTCCCCTCAAGGTTTTAAAACGCGTCTGCTAGGGAAAGGTTTCTGCACCCTTATAAAAAATGTTTTGTTTCCCTCTCCAACCAATGTGGGATCTCATAATCCACCTCCCTTGAGGGCCCAACGTTCTCACTGGCACTCCGTTTGGTGTCTGGCTTTGATACCATTTATAACAACTCAAACTCACCACTAACAGATATTGTCCCTTCTGGACTTCCTCTCAAGGTTTTAAAACGCGTATGCTAGGGAGAGGTTTCTACACCCTTATAAGGAATGTTTCGTTCCCCTCTCCAACCGATATGTGATCTCACAATCCACTCCCTTGGGGTAAACGTCCTCGCTGGCACACCGCCCGGTGTCTGGCTCTGATATCCCGTTTATAACCATCCAAGCCCACCACTAGCAGATATTGTTTTCTTTGGGTTTTGCCTTTTAAGCTTCCCCTCAAGATTCTAAAATGCGTCTGCTAGGGAGCGGTTTCTACACCGAACTAGTTTTAATTCTAAAACATATATGACCAGAAAATTTTGAAGGACACAAGTAAACTAAGTTGCTAAATGCAAGGAATTTCAACATCTTGATAACAGGGCATCGGCTGCATCAGCTGTTGGTTGGCCCCCCATCCGTTCATCCAGGAAGATCTATGTTATCCCCCGCTCTTCAAAGCCTAACCCTCTTGAGTTGTCAAAAGCTGTGAAGGAGGGGAATGGCTCAAAATCCGACTGTTGCAGTGGACAAATGTTTGTTAAAGTCTGTATGGATGGCGTTCCCATTGGAAGGAAACTGAATCTCCAAGCCTATAATAGTTATGATCAACTCTCTGCTGGCATACACGAGCTCTTCCACTGTCTTCTTGCAGGCAATCCTTCAATCCCTTGCATTTAAACACTATATATCTATTAATCTTATAAACGCTACTTTCACCGAATCAAATGGCTATCAAACGGGACCTAAGTAATAACTACGTGTTCTTATGTTCTTCGTTCTAATTAACTACAGCACAAAAAGGTTATCTGGAGGCTGAGGAAGGGAGAAAGATGGAGGAAACAACAACATTTTCTGATTCCAAACAGATGAACGGGATGTATACTCTGGTTTACTATGATAATGAAGGGGACAGAATGCTTGTTGGTGATGTCCCATGGAAGTAAGCATTTCCCACTCCTGATCTTTTAGTTTTATGTCATCTATCATTTTTGTAACGGCTTAAGCCCACTGCTAATAGATATTGTCCTCTTTGAGCTTTCCTTTTTGAGATTTTTAAAATGTGTCTGCTAGGGAGAGGTCTCCACACCTTTATATAGAATGTTTCGTTCCCCTCTCCAACGGATGTGGAATCTCACATTCCACCCCCTTCGGGGCCCAGCGTCCTCGCTGACACTCGTTCCTATGATTGAAGATCTCACAATCCACTTCCTTTCGGGACCTAACGTTCTCGCTAACACACCACTCCGTGTCCACCCTCCTTCAAGGCTCAACTTCCTCGCTTGCACACCGCTCGATGTTTGACTCTGATATCATTTGTAACAGTCCAAACTCACGGCTAATAGATATTGTCCTATTTGAACTTTCACTTTTGGGCTTTCTCTCAAAAGTTTTTAAAACTTGTCTACTAGGGAGAGGTTTCTACGTACTTATAAAGAATGTTTCATTCCCCTCTCCAACCGATATAGGATCTCACAATTTTCCCCGTCAAATCTAGTATTTTGCATCATTCTAAACACTTTCATTAAAATGCTTCCTTGATTGCTGTTCATCAGTTCATGTAACAGGAGCTCTCTTTCAGGCATTACTTAAGCTTTCTTTTTATGGTGAGCTTATTAGGCTTCATTTTCATGCAGCATGTTTGTTTCCACTGTGAAGAGGCTACATGTGTTAAAGAGCTCTGCCATTGCCACCGAAAAGAAGTGAATTTCCTTTCAAAATTCAAACACATTCATCTGAAAGGTACTGGAAATGTTCTTTTCAAATCTTTCAGAGGTTTGGCTTAGAATAGCAGCAATTTTGGGTTAAAGAGTCGATGCCGGTTAGGTTTGGCAGTGTAATGAAGCTGCAACTTGTAAGCGCAGCCTGAGCTTTTAAGGTTGAGGCAACTGCTGTTGTGTGTGTGCACATATTTTGTTCTGTTTCTTCAGAATGATATGAGTTTTGATTTTGAATTCTCTCTTACTTGGTCTTAGAAATTCATTCGTTTTAATTCATTTACATCGTGATAGAACACGAAGGACTCTAACATTGGCATAGCTTAACGGTTTAAACATTGATACTTTTTCTTGAGATCGACGGTTTGATCCCGTGCTCCACATTTGTTGAACTAAAAAAACACTTACGAACAAGGGCAATAGAGTCAATTTCCCGACATCGGAGACAAAAGTCCAAAATTAGCCTTGTGGGAGTTATTTACTTTGAAAAGGGAAATGGGGCTAGAGATTACTGGATTTTTTGTCTTTTTTGTCTTGAGTAACTTCTGTCTTCAATGTTCGTTATAACTTCCTAACAAACAAAGTACTCTCTTACTATTAGCTCAAACTCATTACTAGTAAATATTGTCCGTTTTAATCTGTTATGTATCACTGTCAGCTTCACATGTTTAAAACATGTATATTAGAGAGAGATTTTCCATACCCTTATAAGGAATACTTCGCTCCCCTTCCAATCGATATAGGATCTCACAAACCACCTCTCTTGAGTGTCTAGTGTCCTCGCTAGCATACTATTTGATGACTAGCTCTGATGCCATTTGTAACACTTCAAGCCCACTGCTAGTAAATAATGTCCGTTTTGGCCTGTTACGGTCGCCGTCACCTCAGTTTCTACACCCTTATAAGAAATGCTTCATTCCCCTCTCCAACTGATGTGAGAATTCATTATCTCCCCTTAGGGCCCAGCATCCTCACTAACACACTGCTCGATATCTGGCTTTGATACTATTTGTAACAGACCAAGCCTACCGCTAGCAAAATATTGTCCACTTTAGCCTGTTACATCTTGCCGTTAGCCTCACGGTTTAAAAATGAGTCTACAATATAAAAGTTTTCACACCCTAATAGAAAATGTTTCGTTCTCCTCTCCAATCGAGATGAGATCTCATAGATTTAATTCCTAAACTTTCAAAATTAAAATTTTAAACAAATTTACAATACCTGGTTGGATGCTCTATTTGAATTGGAAGCGGTTCCTCAGCCTTCGAACTTTGTCGGCCAATTCGTCTAATCACCCTGGCTGTCCTTCACGACTACAACCACCGCAGAATCATCCACCTTCTTCTACGATGCGCCGCCCAGCTTTCAATGCGTCAGCTTTTCGAAATCCAAGCCCAACTCCTCGCCTCCCCCATCCCCTCCATCGACCCCAATATCGTAGCAGTCAAGTTCATCGGCGTTTCTTCCTCCCATGGCAACCTGCGCCATTCTGTTCTCGTCTTCAATCACTATCTTACTTCTCCGAACATCTTTGCCTACAATGCTCTTCTCAAAGCCTTCGCTCAACACAACGCTTGGCACAAGACTATTGCTTACTTCAATAACCAGTTGGTAATGCCTGATGCACCAAACCCAGATGAGTATACTTTCACTTCTGTGCTCAAGGCCTGCGCTGCCCTTGCCCAGGTCCTTGAAGGCCAAAAAGTTCATTGTTTTGTGACCAAATATGGCTGTGAATCCAATCTGTTTGTGAGGAATTCACTGGTGGATTTGTATTTTAAGGTGGGTTGCAATTGGATTGCCCAGAAGCTGTTTGATGAAATGTCTGTGAGAGATGTTGTTTCATGGAACACTTTGATTTCGGGGTATTGTTTTAGTGGAATGGTGGAGAAAGCCCGGATGGTTTTTGATGGGATGATGGAGAAAAACTTGGTGTCCTGGTCGACGATGATCAGTGGCTATGCAAGGATGGGCAATTTAGAAGAAGCACGCCATCTGTTTGAGAAAATGCCAATGAGGAATGTGGTTTCTTGGAACGCAATGATAGCTGGGTATGCACAGAATGAGAAGTATGCAGATGCAATTGAGTTGTTCAGGCAAATGCAGCGTGAAGGCGACCCGGCACCCAACGATGTAACGCTTGTTAGCGTACTCTCCGCTTGTGCACATCTTGGTGCTCTTGATCTGGGGAAGTGGATACACAAGTTTATAAGACGAAGCAAGATGGAAGTAGGGCTGTTTTTAGGGAATGCATTGGCAGACATGTATGCAAAATGTGGATGCATATTGGAGGCCAAGAGGGTGTTTCATGAAATGCAGGAGAGAGATGTGACTTCATGGAGTATAATAATTATGGGGTTGGCTATGTATGGCTATGCAGATGAAGCATTCAAGTGCTTTGATGAAATGATTGAAGATGATGGTTTAAAGCCAAATGATATTTCCTTCATGGGTTTATTAACATCCTGCACTCATGCTGGGTTGGTTGATAAGGGGCTGGAGTATTTTGACATGATGGCTGAAGTTTATGGTATTACTCCCAAGGTTGAGCACTATGGGTGTGTGGTCGATCTGCTTAGTCGTGCAGGGCGTCTTGATCAAGCCGAGTCTTTGATTAACTCTATGCCTATGCTGCCTAATGTAATTGTTTGGGGTGCACTACTTGGTGGTTGTCGGATATACAAAGATGCAAAACGAGGAGAATGCACGGTTCGACACATACTTGAACTAGACTCGAGTCATTCAGGAAGTCTTGTGTACCTGGCTAATATTTATGCTTCAATGGGTAGACTGGACGATGCAGCTAATTGTCGGTTGAAAATGCGAGACAACAAGTCAATGAAAACTCCTGGCTGCAGTTGGATTGAGATCGATAACTCGGTTTATGAATTTTTCATGGGGGACTTGTCGCACCCTCAATCTGCAAAAATATACTCAATGATTAAGGAATTGAAGTGGAAGATGAAACTTGCGGGATATAAACCAAAGACTGACCTTGTGATTCATAATATAGATGAAGAAGAGAAGGAGGATGCTCTTTCTACTCATAGCGAGAAGCTCGCCCTTGCATTTGGGCTTATCAATACCAGTGAGGGCACTACAATCAGAATAGTTAAGAACTTGAGAGTTTGCGACGACTGTCATGATGCAATGAAAATAATCTCGAAAATCGTTGAACGAGAGATTGTAGTGCGAGATCGAAGTCGTTTTCACCATTTCAAAAATGGTAAATGTTCTTGTAATGACTACTGGTAATCTGGGGTTGTGGTGAATGCAAACTTTTCACACTATCTTTAATGACATAGAGATTGTTTAATTACCTTTCTTTGTGTTCTACATGTTGAGGAAAACAAACAGATGCCAAGGAATTACAGCTATGAGAGGAAAGTTCCGATTGAATCATCTTAACACGAGCCTCGACCATTGGAAAAACGTGTTCGTTATTTAGGGAAACAAAGATGCAGTAAACTTCAGAAAAACGAACAGAAGCTTGTAATTACATCTTTGCAAGGATCAGATTACTGGTTTCAGTACTCATAACGGCATATCCTACGCTCTAAGAGAAGGTATGTAACATTTCAAGCCCACCGTTAGTAGATATTTGTCCGCTTCGGTTCATTACCTATCGCTATCAGTCTCACGGTTTTAAAACATTTCTATTAGGGAGAGGTTTCCACATTCTTATAAAAAATAATACTTCGTTCCCCTCTCCAACCAATGTGGGATCTCACAAGGTACTAATTAAAAACCCCAGTCCCTACACAATGAGTTATTGCCTAGCCTTTCGATGATCATGTTGCACTGACCAGTCGCTTCCATAAGAAGAACAAGACCCTAAACATCATAGAACAAAGTTGTTATGCTCCTAGTATAAAACTTAATATCGATCACATAGGTTAGAGATTCGAATCTTCCATTCAACTAATTGTTGAACGATGAATCTAAAAACATGACAGAGAGAACAAGTTACAAAGAATTATTAAATTTTGCTATGCTTATGTAAAAGGTCCAATTCCATAGCAGGTGAAACCAACTGCTATTAGGAGCACAGCATTCTCTAATCGTAAAAATTTGCATGCCAAGCTACCATCAATTGTTTGTACACATCCAACACAAACATGTTGAAGAACAGATGAAGAATTGGGAAAACAAATGGGATGACAATTGAATGGATATTTATCAATTAGTAATTGTTTACAATCTCTCAGAGACTCCGATTGCGCTGATGCTACACACACAAGTAATGGAGATCAAATTTTGAAGCTTTGTTGTTTCAAATGGCTATTGTAACAAGGTTGAATCTCAACTCTTATATACACCAGATAGCTCTGCATTTTGGACAATCCAAGGGTGTTCGAGAACTTTGTGTAGTGGCAGCCGTTGAGAACAATCCTTGACAAGCATCTACATGGAAAACAACAAAAGCAAAACATTTGTTCACTCAATACGATAAAGATAAATATATTGGCTGTGTTATCAAACGAGATATGCAAGGCTATAATACCTGACTGATGAGGTCCTTTGCAGTCGAAGAAATGATTGGCCTTGGAGGAAATTTCAAATCTACTTGCACAATTCTGCAGGTTTGATCATATAAAATTGTATCAACAATGGAAAGAACCTGTTTTATAACATCAGATAAAAAGCTTCGATCAAATCTACCTCCTGTATGTGTCAGAGTGTTCCTTGGCCTCAAATGGGGGTACCCCATAGAGGAACTCATAGCATAGGACACCAAGACTCCAGATATCCACACTTGCATCGTGTTCCACGCTCTCCACTGACAAGACGACGAGTATTAAAGCAAAACGTAAACGGACATTTGAAAGATAAGTGATTGTGATATCCGGTCTAAGTATACATACCCATTTCAGGAGGCAGATAATCCAATGTCCCGCACATAGTACGCCTACGGTTAAATGTGTGCACCGACCATCCAAAATCTGCTATCTTCAGTTCACCCTGTGAAAGGAAAGCCTCATTTGCTTAGCCCCAAAGAGAGAATCCAACATTGATAACTGAGAAACCTAGAAGTCAAATCAAAATGAAGCCAGCAAGCAAACCTGGGCACCAATTAGAAGATTTTCTGGTTTGATGTCTCTGTGAATTACATGTTTTCCATGACAGTATATGAGAGCCCTGGCCAACGATGCAACGTACTGTCTCATGCAACATAAATTTAAAACGTCATTAGAACAATAAATATCCTACGCGTATGCTGTAACTGAAATTAGAAGAACCATGAACCATGGCATCATGGAGGGGAGAACTTACAGTAGCAGCACGTCTCTCACTGAAGTATTTGCACTTCTGTAGTTCCTTGTAAAGCTCACCTCTGGGAGCATATTCCAGTACCAAATAAATTCGTTTCTGTAGCAACAACATTTAAGGGGGAAAGATCAGCGGTTGAATATTTCATTGGACAACTTTAAATTATTGGATTCATTGTAGAGACTTCCAGAGAAAATACAATACTTGATCGTAGAAATATCCATAGAGGCGCAGAATGTTAGAGTGTCTAAGATGACTCTGTATTTCAACTTCCCGGCGAAGCTGATGCTCAACCTGAGACTGTTGTAACTGGCTCTTGAATAAGACTTTCAGTGCCACAATGTGATTACTCTGTTCGAAATTCACGGGAATCAAGTCAACACTCACAAATTATGAGAAGAAATCAGCACACTACGTAGTAAGTTACGATCTTCTCGGGTAACAACGCGCAAAACCAATATCATTTTACAGTCTTAGCTAGTGTCTGGTCTATGAAGAAACATAAATTTCTGATGAACATTCCCGGTTAGGAACCAGAAAAACAAAACCAGACCAGAAAGGATCAAAACTGATAGCTACTTCTGGTTCTCCTTCCCTTTAAAATGCTAGGAAAAAATAAAATAAAAATAAAACTTTTGAACTGTAAAATCCAAGAAACCAATATTGTTTTGATTTTGAAGGAACATGATTGTTCTTTTTGAATGAGATCCACAAACAAAACGAATATAATATCTTTCAGTCCCAAGTTCCTTAGTGAACTGAAATTTATTAAGACTTTTTGAGATCAAAAGCTTGCATAGTAACGAAAATCACAAAACACGTAAGGTTGAGTGAGTAAAACGCACCCTCTTTTCTCTAGCTAGATAGACATGTCCGAACTTCCCTCTTCCGAGAGGTTTTCCAATGTCAAAGTCGTTAAGCGTCCATCTTCTCTTCTCGACTGCAGAGGCCTCCGTAGTGGTGATCTACAAAAACATTTTTACATTCAAATTCCTGTATCTTTCAAAAACGATCCATCTTCCTGGAAAAATAGTCAACTACCAAACGACAATTTGAAACCCTAACTCGTTGATTTCTTTACTACAAACACGAAAACTAAAGTCCTCGTTAGTTACTGAAAGAACGGACACGTCCTGGTATAAAAGAGAGAGAAAAACGAAATGAACGATTCAATCCTAATCTTGAAAAAACGAACGCGAAACCACACAAATCTCAATCACAAACATGCTACAACAAATTACCTTCTCCTGTGGTTGGTTCTCTGCAGCGATCGCCATGAGAAAGAGAGGGAAGGAGAGAAGAGAGAATCAGATCGGATGGCGAGAAGAGACAGAAAGTGAGACGAGGAGCACAAGGCAAACGAAATCTGAGTGAAAGGAAAAGATATAGAACTTGGCAACGGTCGAATTCTAACGGGCTGCCACGTGGCGCATGCCGCTCAGTGATAAAATTTCAAATTTTCAGAATTAAATGTTGTACATCGCCTGTAGTGAGCGTCCCCATGTGAAGAAGTCCTTTCTGTGTAACGGTCCAAATTTTAAAATAAAAAGCAAACTATTTTACTTAATACTCATATATAATAAAACGTTAAATTAATAAAAATATATTATTCAACTTTGGGTTTTAAAAATATTAATAATACTTTTCAATTTTCAAAAAAAAAAAAAAAAAAATCTAAAAAATATCAACTTTCAAATAATTTTAAAATAACTTTTTATATATTTATTTGGAAATTTAAAATTTTAATTTAACTTAAATTAAAATAATAATAATAACACAATTCAACGTTTATTATTTGGATGGAATAATTGGGATTCATCGAGTTATCAAGTCATATAAACGGACAAACTAACACAAAACCTTACAATTTTGTAATTTATTTAAACATTTTTAGATTTTTAATTTATAAATAATTTTTTCAATTAATTATACGCTTAATATTATATTTATTTACTGTACAGTTTGCACACTAAAATTTATAAGTTCGTTGAATTCCATTATATATATCAAATATTCTAATTTTCTTAACAATTTTAAAATTATTATAGTTTGGAACTTCGAAATTGGACCTTCCTTCTTTTCGCACTATGGGCAAAATTGAATTCAATTGTCAACTGCTCCTATCGTAAATAGGATTGACTACGGATTTGAGCTATAGCACACGGTTTCATAAAACCGTACGATTTTCCCGATCTAAATAAAACAGGTTTTACATGAAGAAGATTTGGCTCAGCATGTTCTATTCGATACGGGTAGGAAAAGAACCCAACTCGGTATTATTAAAAAAATAGAGAAATCAGAACCCAGTCAAGATGATACGGATCAACCCCTTCTTCTTGTGCCAAAGATCTTACCATTTCCGAAGGAACTGGAGTTACATCTCTTTTCTATTTCCATTCCAGAGTTTTTATGTGTTTCCACGCCCCTTCGAGACCCCGAAAAATGAACAACTTTTCTTCGGAACACATACAAGATTCGTCATTGCAAAAAGGATAATGGTAACCCCACCATTAACTACTTCATTTATGAATTTCATAGTAATCGAAATACATGTCCTACCGCGACAGAATTTGTAACTTGCTATCCTCNAAAACCGTACGATTTTCCCGATCTAAATAAAACAGGTTTTACATGAAGAAGATTTGGCTCAACATGTTCTATTCGATACAAGTAGGAAAAGAACCCAACTCGGTATTATTAAAAAAATAGAGAAATCAGAACCCAATCAAGATGATACGGATCAACCCCTTCTTCTTGTGCCAAAGATCTTACCAGTTGGTGGAATAGACTAAAAAACTTTATAACATGTGAACCGATTTAAAAAAAAATTAACCCAACTCAAATTAAAAAAAAAAAAAAAAAAAACCACAATTTTAACAAAGTCTTAAATTTCCAATAGTTTTCTATTTTTTTTAAAATTAATTTTTCTTTTTACAGTAGAAAAGGATAGTCACTTCAAATATATTATTAAAAACTGCATAAACTTTATAGAATTTTAGTAGCCTTAAATTTAAAAAAAATAAAAATACCTTTATTGAATTAATAATT